TATATGACTATATGATACTCTTAGAAATATAAAGAAACCAAAGTAGTTTTTCAAGCTGGGCTTTTTACCTCCTAAAAAACATACAGAGATAGGTGTAATTCTATTTCTGTGTCCAAGGGGGAAAAATTTTATTTTTCTTGTCTTATCCATAAAAAGAATTAAAAATATTTAATACTCCTTTGCTTTCCACATTTCATGTGTCTCAGTCAGAGCTCCCTCTGTAGTAATTTGCTCAGTAACAAAGTCTTAAAAATTTAGCCAGGTTTAGCAAGAAGTAGGGGTTGGATTGATGATTTTATTGATTAAAAGCTCCAAGCAGGCAAAGACTTTACATCTGGATCTACACCTAAAGATGTCTACACACAAAACTTAACACACTGCACAGGCCCCCTGCATCACTGGAAGGATTGGAAGGCTTAAAATTTGCCAGTTTAGGCTCATCTTTCCTTTATTAATACCATGATCTGTGGAGAACAGGCTTGCATAGACTTTTGCCTGCATTTTGTTTAGGCCTAAACAAAATGTTCCTAAAACCCAGGCAGAACTGGGGCTTTACTTTATTAGGTTTTTTCAAATTATGAACTTGACACTTCACACTGACAGACTGAGGGAAAGCTGTGAACACTTATCTGGGCCAATGCCTGCTGGGTGCTCTGTTAAGGGCAGTAAGATGCTCCTCTAGATACACACACTGGCATGAGAAGACTTTTTGAGCACAGAATTTCTGTGCCTCAGTGACATGTGTTTATTCTCTTCTCCAAGTCTGAGTGTGGTCTGATGTTCATACAGATATTTACATAAAACACTAAAGGAATAATCTTTTTGTAACTTACCCAGCAAAAAGTAAAGCTCATCAACAGAGATACAACTCAGCCACTCTTGCAACCAGTACATTGTAAAAACAGCTTGTTCTGGAAATTATAGAAATGTAAATCTTAAATTAAGTAATCTGTGAACTTTATTTTGCATGAAGAATTGCAATACAAGTATAACTGCATTTTACATCTAAGAATCTCTAATTCTGGCAACATTGCAATGCAGACTGTGCTTTCCTCCTCTCTCATGTACTGCATTCAGAAAGGATTACATCATCTCCAAGAGCCAGAAAAACAGAAATAGACCAGGGAGGCCCATTACAGCAGACACAGAGTAATTAAAAAGACTATAACTTTTTAGTTAGAGAAGGAGATAACTCAAGAAAAAAGGGTCATTATGTTTCTAAAGAGACAAATAAAATCATGTGCAATTTAAGTTCTCGGAAAGGCCAGTAATGCCTTCCATCTGTTGAGAACAGCCTTGGAAGCACAGGAGGAAACTGATCCTTGATCTAGCAAAGAATTTAAACAAGCAGCTTAAATATTTGAGCAAATTGTTGGAACCAAAGGTAGTTGTTTGAACTTGATCATCAAATTGATCACTTCACTGAAATAACTCAGTAAGCATTAAAACAGAGTAATCAGTGTGGTTTTAGGCACTCTGGTATTGCTGAAGGACATTGACATGCTCTATTTTATTAGCAAGGCAGCAAGACAAATTATTTCTTTAAAAAAGTAAATCACTGAAATGTTATTGACTGCACTGAAACTATTAACACACACATGCTCATTCTGTGATGCTGTGATTTCAGGGTAAAATGCTTAAGTAAAACCAACTTTAAAATGTAAACAATTCAACACATTGCTTTGCTATTATCCTAAATTAAAGTGTTTCCATTTTTATATCAGGTTCCTCCTCCTAGATATCTACTTTTTTAAAAATGTAAATTTTATAGCTAAATGTTCCACATCTTTTCAAGAATTTTTTGTTTCTTTCTTCCAGCGGGACAAAAAGTTCTGGTTCAAAGCTCAAAAGAGCAAATTTTCTGGTTTAAAAGATTTTAATGAATTAATACTCGCAAATAATGTAGGCAGGTCAAAAGGAATGTCCTGCTTTTTCCAAAAAGAATGTCATTCTGAAAAATCACTGGTAACCACATTATACTGAATTCTTCAACAAACCAGAAAGCCATCTATAGTCAAAGATTTCCCTAGCAGTACTAGTAGTGTAAGAAAAGAGAGAAAGGTAAAATCAGAACCAACTATTTCCCCTTTCATCTTCAGCAGAACCTTCTGCCTCAGGGTTCAGGACTTTCTCTTATGTTAGTAATGGCATGGCCTGATCAAATCTTTTAAACAAAGCTTGATTCAGGATCTTGACTCAAGCAAGGTTCCAACCACAGCAAATTGCTGTACAGCACACAGGCATTTTCCTCTATGGTATAGGTGTAAGAAAAAAGAAAGTTAACAGCAGAGAGGCTGCTCTCTTAAAGGTGAGCCATTTCTACAAAGCTCTTTTGTAGTGCCCAAGGGTCTTGGAAATACAACCTACACTCAAACTCAATTCTCAGTTTATAAATTCTTATTTATAGGCTTTTATTCTTCTAATACACAAAATACTACTTCATATCCTTAGATGTTAAGAAACATACTAAATCTGTGAAAGATATGTAAAGGCACTGAATCACAAAGACAGAACTTCCATTTCCATCTCACTACCTCCACAATATTATACTATTATTATTCATGCACTTCTAAAGTGCACACTGAAGAAAAAGTGACAAAACTGCCACTATTCTCTCGTATTCAGTATTTTGTTTACAAGCTGGAAGCTCTGTGAAGATCGCAGATTAGACGAAATTCACCCTAAAGGCTGAATATTGGGTAAATGCTACAATGGAGCAGCATCCTCAACCAGGCCAAGGAATCCCACAGAAGAGATCCCATATTCCCTTTAGAGAGAGATTCAAAACAAGCAGAGGAATGTGGCAGCACAATTCCTCCAGCCAATAAATACGCTCTAAGGATTCTACTGGGTGACGGGAAAAATACAGAGTTTAAAAAAAAAAAAAAACAAACTGATCTATCTTTCCTGGAGTTCTGACGGGAGTCAAAGCCGCAGCCTCACACCCCAGCGGCTCCCAGGCGGTGCCGCCTCACGGGAGAGGGCAGCGCCGGGCAGGGGACGCAGGGCAGGAAACACCTGGCGTGGGCCCAGCTGGGAACGGCGGCATTCTCCCCCCTGCCCAAGGAGCTGGAAGTGGTTTCTGGCCAGTTTTTTGTGACCCAAAGCACGGAACAGCCCATGCGGGGCGTGAGGCGCCCAGAGCAACGCAACCCCCTCAGACAGAGGCGGCCCGCGGGAGCCGCGCTCAGCCCCGGGCTGTTTCCGTTCCACGCCTCCCCGCGGCGCCCGAGCCCGGCACTTTCGTTCCGGGGCCTGCGAGGGCCGCGCGGGAGCCGCGGCGGGCAGCGGGTGAGGAGCGGGCGGTGCGGGGGCGCTGGAGCCGGGCGAGGAGCGGCTGAGGAGCTCCCGCGCCGGCGCGGCGGTGGCGGCAGGAGAGAGGAGGCAGCGCGGCTCGGGAGCGCCGAGGGGCCGCGCTGTGCGCGGGGCGGGCTCGGGCGGCCCGCGGTCGGAGGCGGCTTTGCGCCCACGGGGGCCGCGGTGCCGCTGCGGCGGCGGGACGGGGCCGCTCAGACACCGAGCGGCAGAACCGCGCTGTTACCCGGGGGCAGAGGCAGCGGCCCAGGGCTGTGCCCGCCCAGCGCCCTGCGCTGTACGCCCGCAGAACCTTCACTCGGAGCCGGCCTGCGCTCACCCCGCTGGGCTGATAGCAGCGGGCAGCGGCATGGCCGGGGCTGTAGCACCCCAGAGCTATACACCGCCCCCCGAGGTGCACCGGCCGACCTGCTGAGATGTTCTAGAATTGCGGCTGGAGTGTGGAGGGTACCCTCCACCGGCAGCGATTTACCAGGGGTTTAGAGATGAGGTGCAGATGGAGTTGTTTAGTCTTAAAAATATCTGTCTGACATGAGATTTGGATCTCAAAGTTCTAGTCTGTCATTTTCTGAAATGTACTGTACTATATGTATAGTGCTGCAGCCTGGGCCCAGCTATTAGTTTGAGGCCACAGCGTATCCCTTGTCAGCATCGATAACAAAAGTGCTCCAGGGTGTCACCGTTGAGCGGCACAGAGTGTAAGACATTCCACTGCAAAGAATCAGTTTGCAGGCTGGGAATGCATGTCCAATTCCAGGGCCTCTCGCCCTCTGCTTCTTGAGGAAACTTGATAATAGCACAGGTTGCTCTGAGATGTAAACTATACTGGCTTTATCTCAGAGAAACGTGAAAGCAAATCGCACTAGAAAATTCGTATGCATATTAGATTTTGTGTTTATTTGAGTGGACTTCCCTGACCTTTCAAAAGTTAGACCTTGGCAGAGGGGAAGGTATCATAGCATGCATGAGTATTTAATTTTACCAGAAAATAACAGTTTTTTCTGGGATTGATTTTAATTTGGTGTTGGAAACTTAGCTTAGCTTTTTGGTTTTGTTACTTTCCAATTACATTACACTTGATTTTATTTAAACGCTTCATTTTGGATTACATTTCAGGACTTACTGTTTGTTTGTTTTTGTTAAATATGACTTTGCTACACGATTTCATAAGTGTGATCCTTGACATGAAAAAGTAAACCTAAATTAGCTGAAAGTAAATCCTGAGAAGAACTTCTTTCATTGCATGTTATGCAGCACAAAGTGCCAGAGGCAGTTTATAACTACTGCAGGCTGTGCAGGCTCCTGGCTGGGGCTGCTTGGGGGCTGAGAGAGCAGTGAGAGGGGGCTGTGAGAGCACAGCAGCACTAATTCTGTCTGCCCCAGGGTGGGCACATGGTCATGTTTCTCATGCCTTGCTACATGGTGAAAATTCTGTGCCATCTGTAGAGGGTGAGACAACAGCTGTCCTGAAGAAAGCCTGACAAAAATCCATTGATGATACTAAATAAACACAAACTTGTGGAAGTCTAGACTGAGTCAGCACTTACTATCTGGAACATGGGGCACCAAAGCCCTTTTCTAGCTGTTACTTTTCTGCCTCGAGCTCTTCTCCTGGAAAATTTCTTCTATTTCACAAAGTTCTATCCAACAGGGATTTCATTCAGGTTATTTGGTTGGCCCACACGCAATAAATTTTAGGATAGAGATCTAAATTAGCACAATTAACTTTTGTCTTACAAATTTCTATCCTGTAGGCATATACTTCCTTGTCAGTAGTCATGTTGGAGACAAATGGGATTGCTCATCCAGGTAAACACTGCTTACAGTGTTTTCATAAACTTTTAGGCACAGATCTTAACAACAGAGAAATAATAGACTTCTGCAGGACTTAAATAAGTGGGATAGTGAATGTGCATCTGTGCATTAAGGATGCAGATCTCAAGTTCTTTCCAGTTTATCTCATGCAAATCTTTTGAATCAGATGATTTTATTATTTTCTGTTGTATGAAACCTGTTCTTAAATGGGATAATACAGAATATTTTCCAGTAGATTAGTTCATAGTAATTGGCTTTTTATTTAACAACATTTTGTCTGTTTCAGCTAACCATGTCTTTAAATTCATCTACACTTTTAAATGAAGGAAATGCTCAAGGAGCAAAAAGAAATACTGAGTGTTTGGAAAGCCTACTGCAGAGTCCATCACCTATTCAAGATAATCCACTTCAACAATTGCAGTTAGCATCCCAGGAAGTACTGGAAAGAGCAAAAAAGAGTGGGAGATCAAAATGCCCCCGATGCAATAGTTCAAGGATGTTTTATTGTTATACATGCTTTGTTCCTGTCGAAACTGTCCCTACCAAAGAAATTCCAACTGTGAAGGTTAGTATTTCTTAATAGTTTTTTATAATATCTTTGGGGTTTTAGTTACTGTGGACAGAGAATAGTCTGTCTGCAGCCATTTCTTTTCTGGCTCAGTCTTTACAGACGTTCATTTTGAACACAGTTATAAGTATGAATAAACTACAGTTAGATAAAATTACTGTTCTTACTTGAGGAATTACATGTACAAACACTGAAAATGTTCCAATCCTCACATAAACATTTATGTATCTTCTAGATGAGAATATAGGCTGAAGTCACTCAGCTTCTCATGCAACTGTGTTTCCACTTAGTTGTAGAAAGTTTCTTTATGGTGCTCTTGCACATTCTTCAGTTTCTAATAACTGTGGCCAGAAAACGTTATATTGTGAACAAAAACTTTGTCCAAAACCAAGGGTGAATTTTACATAAAATGTGACCTAAAAGACATTCCTATATGTCATGGTTCTATAATTCAGATAACTGCTGTTAAAATATAAATAGTAAAATGCCTTTCAGCTGAGTTACTTGGGGGAACGATCAGAAAGGACTGAGACAATTTGCAAAATCAGTTAGGATATAAGATGCATTTTGAAGACAGTGGAGTTTGAAAGCATCATAAAAAGACTTTAGAAGTACTTTTGAAATTTGACCTAGTAAACTTAGGTATATTTTCATTGAAATAGTAATTTTCACAGCTGGGTGAATACCTAGTAGAGATAGAACCATTATATTGCTCAAATTAAGACCACATCCAGCTTACCTTATTGATTCTGTTTCTGTAGATTTTACCACACTACTGCTGGCAGCATTCCAAAGTGCATCACTGCTTACTTAGCTATTTGCATAAATTGAATGTAGTAGGTGCTTCTTCTAACTTGTCTCTAGTTTAGTTCTAAACCTATAAAAAAAATCATCACATACATTTTAATTACACACCCATTGGAATTTCTTCCAAATTTTGAATAAGTTCTTGTTTGTTTCTAATAGATAAGTTCTAATAAGTTCTTGTAAGTTTCTAATAGATGTTTGCAAATATGATGATAAACACTGCTTTTTTCTCCTTTTACTCTAGTTACCTTTGAAGATTGACATTATTAAACACCCAAACGAAACGGATGGCAAAAGCACCGCTGTGCACGCTAAGCTCCTGGCACCTGATGATGTTACAATTTATAAATACCCTTGCATTCCAGAGTATGAAGAGAAGAGACACGAAGTAAGAGATTCTCTAGAGATAGCCAGGCTCTGTGCTGGGGAGGTGCAGCTTCCTCCTGCAGTGGTAGTGCCCTGCAGGGAGGAAACCACTGCTCATTAGTGCAGTCCATCCTGTGATTAGCTCTGCAAACACACAGTTCTGGACTGTAACCTTTTCTCCAAAGCTGAAAGACTGCAGCACTATTTAACCACCTTGAACTTTCTATGTTCATCTCCTCACATAATGGAGAATTGGATTTACTGTGTATCTTAGAAATGTTTTGCCTATAAATGAAAGTATTCAACTTGAAGCAAGTTAAACAGCAGTTGAATCTTGTGCTCATATTTAGCAGCTGCAATATTTAAACCTCCTTAAAATTTTAACATTCACTATGACACAGGAAAACAAGTAAAATTCAAGTCTTGTCTATCATAGCATAGAGCACAAAAAAAGTGAGTTATGAACTCGGATGTGTATGTTCATTTAAATGGTAAGCTATCATTTTTGGCCCTCCTGCCCCATATACTGCAGTAACAAGTGACATTTGAACTTCCTCAGGGCAGACACCATTGTCTCAGCTGAAAAATCTTCTTAAACAGAACTGTTTGAGTTGGTAGTAGAGGCATGGGAGTAACATTAATTAAAAATCTCTGTTAAGGATCTCAATTCATTAACATGTTTTTAACATGGATTTAACACTGTATTGGACAATAGAATATTTTTAAGAGATACTATTTCATCTTGTCCTGATTTAAATGTTTATAGACATTTATATAAATGTTTATAGACATTAAATGTCTAATATAACAATGCCTGTTGTTCTATTAGATTTTATTGACAGATCTCTTTGTTTTCTCCATTCAGATAGCACTTATATTTCCTGGCCCAAATTCAGTTTCAGTTAAAGATATTGCTTTCCATCTCCAAAAGTACACCAAGAAAAGTGTCTGTCCTAGTGACGATGACTGTTCCAGAGAGCCCCTTCTTAAACAAGCAAAAATAGAATGTGAAGCAGAAAAAAATCCAAATGAATGCATCTCAAGCAGCAGGAGTGAAGGTGCTAGACTGAAGAAAATAATATTTATTGACAGTACCTGGAATCAAACTAACAAGATAATAACTGATGAACGACTTCAAGGTAAAAAAATACAAGTTGATACTGAGACATTATTGCTGCAGAAATGATTAAGGGACATATGTCTCTAACAGACCTGAGCACAATGTAAGCTTGTATGTACCCCTATCTCTGAGTGTCTATGAAAGATTCAGCAGCCTGTTCCAGGGCTGTAAAATACTTCCTGAGCCAAAGACTCCATTACTTTTCATGTCATATAATTTATTTTGCAAAAAGATAATACTAGTACTAAGAAAGCATTTCCATTTATTTGTCTCACTTCTCTGTTGGAGCAAATTTCCTCAGTCTCAGAGAATGGGAGCTGTCATGTTAGACAGTAGAACAGTAGTTAGAAAGGCCTCTGAAGGAAGCCAGGAAGATTTTTTTGCAGGTGGCTGCCTGCTTTCCAGAGACCCCCACGGGACTATTTGTGTACATGTTTGTGGCAGACAGGCCCCAAGAAGGTAAATAAGGGATTTAGGAGGTTCAGCACAGGTTTGTCATGCCTTGGATTCTCTTTCTCCTCAGGTTGTTAATGGACATTTCCATGATCTCACTACTCCAGACAAAAAAGGAATGGCTGCTTGCCCTCCACTCCCTTCCAACTCTTGAGAGCAGAAATTGGTAATTCTGCAAAAAGGTTTTGTCTTAGGTTCTTTACAAGAAGTTTACATTTAAGCATTCTAATTAAAACCACAAAAGACAAAACATTTTAGCAATAGCATTCCATTTCCTTTGAGATGAATAGGAGTTTGAAAATACTTTCATTAGTGCAAAAAGTGCACTTAGCTGGGAGGCAGGTTGTCAAGTTTGTATGCAATATACATATATATATATATATACACACACACATATACACTACTACTGCTTCATGCTAGATCCTACAAGGAATTTCACAGACTTTCTTGCATAGAAGATGGATGTCTAGTCAGTTTATTAAAGAATCCCACATGTTAGTATGATATATTGGCTAATTAAAATCCTGTTATAAGTACTTAGTTTAACACAAAACATACTCTATCAGCTACATTGAAGTATTACTGTAAAGATTAGAGGAATTGCATGTTGCATGCTAATGTAAGGCATTTGAAGTTTACTTTTAGAGGACAAATTCAAGGAAAATAACAGGCAGCCAGGGGAACTGAAAATTTCCATGGAAGCCTATGCATATATTAGTCAAAAAGTCTTAATTGGTGTTACTTTGGAGCTCTTGAATGGTTTCCAGTTTCCCCATGACAATGCTGATTTGATGTACTACTCTCTCCTTTCTAGAACATCTCGGTTCCAGCTGTTTTGCAGCTCCCTGGGTTCCTGAGCACCTTTCAGGATTGCTGTGAGGTTTAATAGTGTCATGCAAGTCAGTTTCTAGTATGAGAGAATTTTACCCATCCACACATTGGGTGTAACAGTGTGCACAGCCCGTGCATGTATTGCTTTCCTTAGTGCCTGTCATAAAGAACATAAATTGCATTAATACCCCTTTTAGAGATTGCAGTTTTCACTTCCAAGATGAATGGGGCAGAGTTTCCTTAGGCATAAACTGATGACATTTTTATGTTGTACATACATGAAAAATAGAGAACTGTTTTCATTTTTCAGTTCAATTGCAAATGAAGTCATCATCCAGCAAAATATCCATCATATGTTAAAGTTCAAAAAGGAGTGTTCATAATTCCAAATAAAAAGTAATTGCCATACTTATTAGGATTAAGTTACAAGAAATATTGAAGGAAAACATTAATGAAGCCAAGAAAACATAAAGAAAAGCCTTGTGTTTTGTAAGCCTATATTTATATAGACAGTAAATCTAGTAAATTGTGCTGCAAGAGAAAGCAAATGAGTACATCAATCTTAAAATTAGCTTAGAGAACTTGGACAAAAGATAGTTCTATATCTTGGAAAAGTGTTAATATATCTTTAGAAAACAAAACTAAATCAGTTAAAGACAAGAAATACATGAGAGTTGGTAATGTCTAGGATTGATTCCTTCATTAAAAGTGATCCCCAGATCAGAAAACAATCAGTTGAATTTAATGTTAATGATGGCTTTCTCATATGAGTGATGGAGCTTATTGGCAACATCACATGATTGTTAAAGAAACTGATTGCTTTGGGTTTTTTCCCTGTAAGTTGTAATTGCTTTGTATCAGCCAAATATTTTATTAGCTTATTCATTAGCATTGTGGGGTTTCATGTGAAGGGTGAGTATTTGTAAGCAAACATTGCCTTTGGCTGTATACAGATCCAGTACAGATGAAACATGCTCACTAAACTTTTATCCTTAACCCCCTCTGGTTTTATTTTTTTTTTAATGAAAGGTACTAAAGTCTTTTTTTTGAAAGTAACTGATACTCCACTTGTGGTAAGCTCAGTAGTGTCCATGGTCTTGCCTTCAGTGAACTTTTGTTTGTGTTCAAACCACAACTACATGGGAGTTTATGCTGGAGGAATCATCCCTGAGATTTACTTCACTGCTTTTAGGGTGAAAGCACTGTGGATTTGATGGAAGTTTTCATTTTGGTTAGGCCTGAGAATTCAAGTGGTGAAGAGGGCAACAAGCTTGATGCAGTTTCCTCCTGCTATTTTAAGTTTCACGTGTAGTATTATTAGAGGTAATAATTAGACTGTGTATGCTGTTTTGAGGTTTTGGTTCTGAAATGTCAATAATAACACTGAAATTCAGGGACAGACTCTCCTGTTCAGGTTTGTTTTTTTTTTTTTTTAATGCTGTAATTGAGATTTCTTCTACAATGCAGGATACCATACCTTACTAACTGCAAAGCAAACAACTAAATCCTAACCCTAACCCTTTCTGAAACTTCCCTGTCCATAACTTCCAAGCAGTTCTTCGACCATACTGGTTTTTGTACTGTTACCTGTATTAAACTGTCCCATGAGACAGAGTATCAGATTATGATAGAAAAAGATAACTTTACAATCTGCTTCTGATATTGTTGACAGTTGTGTACCGTGTTCTTCATGATCCAAGTGCCCATCCTGTTTAAAATTCATCTGAATAATAGAATAGTTACAGAGACTAAAGTAGATTAAAGATTTTTTTTTTGTGCCATACAGACACCAAATTCCCTCTTTCATCTTAAGTGGGAATGCTTTTAGTATCTAATAAAGTTAATTGCAGGATGCTGTCATACTTACTCCTGAGTAATTTCAGTGACATTTCAGTTACTTAACAAGCATAAATTAAAAGTTCCTGGCTCTTGTAAATAGTCCTCACTTCAGCAACACTAACAGTCTAAGGGATTCTGTTTTACACTTGAAAAGTATTAACTTTGCAAAAGATGAAATAATAATTTTCTGAACATTGATGAGTCTTGGTAGGTGTGGCTTTCACTCTTGCCATGTGAAGCGACTCTGCAGTTTACTGAGGGCTGTGTTGCTGTTTGAATGAAAGGATAACTTGTAATTAACTGCAGATTTGAAGATTGTAACCTAGGAATTACAGCACTTCATCAAATTCCAAAGTGATCCAAAAAGGGGGATAAAATTATTGCCTCAGTTTTACAGATCAAAAGTGTAGGTACAGGAAGAGAAATTATTTTCATGCAGGCACTGAGCAGGTTAGCAGCAAAGTCAGAAAACAAAACTAAAGTCTTGGTGCTAAAGTCTTGTTTGACATTCTGGCCACCAATCCACATTGTCTAATCTAGGTCATCTTTTTTCCTTGACAGGGTTACTGCAAATTGAGTTGAAGACAAGGAAAACTTGCTTTTGGCGTCATCAGAAGGGAAAACCAGATACATACCTTTCCACAATAGAAGCAATTTATTATTTCCTTGTGGACTATCATCAGGAGATTTTGAAAGAGAGCTACAAAGGACAATATGATAATCTGCTTTTTTTCTTTTCATTTATGTATACATTGATTAAAGATGCCAAGTGTTGTGCAGGAAAAGAGTAAGTTGTCTGTCGGTGCATGACACTACTTTTTCTTGTAATAATAAACTGCACAAACAGAACTAGGATTTTTTTTTTTGGAAATAGACTGTACTCTAAATAATGTCCAGAAGTGGGCTGCAGACCTCCTCCTGCACGCTTGAGGTTGTAGAACTGCTCACATGAGCAGTCTTATTAGAGTTACTTATTTGAAAACAGTTACATTTTCCTAAAAATTGCTGTACTTCAACCTACAGGCCTGACGTGCTCACTGTGATGAGCACATTTCCTGAGATGGGAGTGGAGGACCTGACCCCTCTTGCTGTAAGAAGTGATCTCTTAACTGTAAGAAGGAATTAGCATGCTGGCTTTCCATTGTGACTAATACTTCTCTCAGATGTTTTCTTTGTGGTTTACACAGCAATACTGATTTTGCCTTCGTGGCATCAAAGGCTTACTGAATGAGCAGATGGTGTTTAGTTGCTGGGGTGAATGGCAGCAATAGAGAATGAAAGAGCACATTAATTGAATATGAATTATATACTTTCATGATTAATTCTGGAAATTTCTTCTAGTAATAAAAAAGTGGTCTCTTTAAACACTGTTATACAATGTATGATTTCTGTAGTACCATTCATGTACTCTTCTTTAGGATTATTCTCAAATTCTTGGGTAATTTTAGACTTCTTCAAACAAATTTAGTTAAGTGTTTATTACTGTTATATATTATCCTTATTTGAGGGAGCACTAACCTAACAAATGTCACTATGGCATATTGTAGGCACCACAAATACTGGTTCTGACCACAATAATTCTGACAAGGCTTCCTTAAACTAGGCAGGCTGTCAATCTGCTCTGCTTTTCCTTTTGGAGTAAAGGGCAGATTAGAACAGTCTCAGTAAGACTTTGTGCTGATGGGAGTTTTGTCATGGTTGTAGTGCTGCTGTCAGAGTCATCAGGTGTGAATGCAGTTTTGCCAACCTACACCAGCACAGCCAGTGCTGGCAGAGAGAACAGACCTGAGCTTTAGAGCAGAGTTATATGAATATATTTTAGATCATACATTGATAATTATATTCCTAAAGTAGAAAAAAAAAATTATTAAAGGTACAATATAAGATGGATAAATATTTCTGGATATTCTTAGAAATGTGTTACTTAAGATAAAATATATCTTGTCAAAGTGACAGACTGAAAAATTACAATAGATTATTTTTTAAACAAAACATCAAAGTTTTTGTTATCATTTTTAGCATACTCTCTAGGAGGCCACTCACACACCTGGTGAACATAGAAATAATGTCTTGGAAAATACTTCAAGAAAATGTTTTTATACTTACACAGCAGTCCACACAGGCTCAAATAGCTGGTTTGTAAAAAAGAAACCTGCATTTTTAATAGTGAAAAAAACCCTGCATTTCAAGGTGAAATCTTAATATTGTTTCAAACACAAGATACAAATACACTCTCTTACATCATACCTCATATTGGTGTGCTTATCTGTACAAGCACATATAAAAATGTATTGCAGTGGACAACAAAAACATATCCCCATTTGCAGAACAAAATGCTGGTTATGTTAAGAAATTATGAAATGTGCATGAACTATAACAGCACCACAGGAAACACAGGCTTGAAGTCAGAATTAGAAAGATAATTTTTATATCTGTCTATATATTGAGCTCATGTGCCAAGCAATGAGAAGAATCAGCAGTTGTGTCTCAGTGCTATTGAAACAACACTGCCTACTCATTTGGTTCTTATTGCTATTGAGAGGTTATTTTGGCTTTTAAAAATGATTAATGTTATTTCCTTTGGTATGAATTTTGATAGTCTTTTGACATTTCCATCTGTTCTTGTATTTCTTAAACAAAGATTGTTGGGGTGTTTTTTTTTTAAATCACACAAGTATAATAGCTTGAGAAGGAAACTTTCACCCACTTTAAATAAACAAAAATAAAATTAACCCACTGACCTAATGTTTTACAAGAACCAGAGAGAAAAATCTGGGGGGAGATGGGGAGTTACTTCCAAGACACATTTCCCTGAAAACATGTTTTTTATTTAAGAAGCAGAGGTCAGATAAAAGCTTGTATAAGCTGTTCTTCATTACTTTTGGAAAATAGTTTCATAAGGTGAAAAATTGTTTCCAAATTTAAGTTTTGTGTATCTCACTTTATTTGAACGATGGGAATTAAGAACCTTTTCCAAAAGAAAATTAGTTTTAATTCTCAGATGAAATTAATGTACAGAAAGGATTTTAGATCTGGCATACTGTGTCCAGGAACTGGGTTCAGATTCTTTTTCTTCCAGTGCAACCTCAGTGTAATGCAAAAGTCATTTGTTACACCAAGGGACAGAGGCACACCTAATATCTGTAATTCTTTACAGTCTGTTGCTGTTCCTCTGATAACCTTTTATGGGGGCAGGAAGGAGGTTTTTGTCACTTCTGCTGCAAATCTGTCTTGTCTGAGCAGCAGATGTAGTTGCCCTTTCTCTCATATATATATAAAAATATTTACATCCTCTATTTATTTTTGATGTTGGTATAAGAAGCCAAACCAAGTCATCCATCTCACACTGAAAGCATCTTAGTACAACTGATACATTTCCCCAGCTTTGAGACTAAAGAAAAATTTTGTTCCACTAAATGAAAGCAATGAAGTGGTTAATCCTTTCAAGTGCAATTAGCAGCACTGACCTCCCTGTTCTTTAAATTGAGGGTCATGGGGAGGTAAAGGCCAGTTCTGGGCCTTTTCTTTCATATCAGAATACCCCTTCACTATCTCTTCTGTTTCCAAAAACATCAGAGACCAAGAGAGAAAAACAGGCTTCTGCTTCCATTAGCAGTAACTTAAACAGCCATAAGTTAAAGGGGGAGGAAAAGGAAGAGCATCTCTATCTCCTCTCACAAGAGGAGACATCTGGCCTCCTGTGGGGAGGCCCCAGATAACAAAGAACCTGTCAATGCAAACCTCCACGATGTGTTCAGAGAACCATTTTACCTGCAGTCTGGCTCATTCATTTCCTGCCACTGAAGCCATCTGCTTTTGCTTATTGTGGGTATTTTTGTTCTTTGTTTGGCCAGGAGCATGAAGTGGCTTCACTTTAGCATGCCTGTAAGCTTGGTCAGAGGGAGTATTTAATCCTTTTCTCAAAATGAATAAGAGAGGGAGCTGCTGCAAAAAACAATTCCTTTCCTGGAAGGTAGCAGAAATGTCATCCAAGCCGAGGTTGAATAAAGGGTCATGACAGTGCATGGGGTGAAGATACATTGAGATTGAAAAGAGATGCCAACTTGGAAGCTACAGCACAACTCCCAAAGCACTTGTAATCTTACCTGATTTAAATCCTTTGCTACTGCTTCTTGCAATTTTTGAGTCCATCTGGTTTTCCACATAGTGTTCTTCAGGCCCAACTGCAGAGTAATACAAGGATCTGTTCTTACCTTGCCCTTGTATTGTGTTTCAGTACTTGCCTGAGCGCTCTAAATATCAGTCTACATAAATGATAGTTATAGCATACTTGTACAAAATGTAATGTGATTTAAAATCCATCCTGCCTACCCCTCCCTTCAAAAGTGCCAAAAGAAGAAGGGAGGGAGGGAAACTTCCTATTAATTTCCTATAATTTACTATAACACAATTCATACACTCCCAGGTGCCATTAACTTGTGTCTCAGAGTATTCTGGGACACAAAAGTTAATGGTGATTGCAGCACATTTCTAACAGGAAAGCTTTCTCACTAAGATCAAAATATGTGGCACTTAAACTCCTGATCCACTGATACCAGAATATGAGGCCACCTACTAAGGTACTGAAGGACTCAACATAGTTCCTAAACTGTTATTCCTTGTCTTGAAGGCCACCATTTTAGTAAAATTCTAATGCTGTCATTAAGAATGTTAATTGTGACTGATCAAACTTAGTAATACCAACATTTAAAGGAAGTGTTTATATGAAAAATCTACCAGATTCTTCCTGTTTGCTTGTTGGGAAAGATAGCATGTATCTGCCATTTTATGGATTCAGAAAAGAAATGAGATGCTGGGGAATTTAGAAAGTAGTCTATCACATAAAACTACTCATAGTGGTGTGATTTCTTCACCCCTATCTGCCAGAAATAAATTCAAATAATTCTGAAGTTCCAGAGTAAGAGGTGGGAACTAGTTCTCTAATGCAAAACAGACAGCAGACTGTATTTTCACCTCATGGAAAGTGGAAATTTTTGTCTAACTTTAGCAATACTGGTGCGGTTGCCACATGATTTTACTGCTGACTTCTCAGACCACTGGTGTTGCAATAGGATGTTTAGAAACATACCACAGAAGAGTGAACAGAAGAGAATGTGCTCTACCAACATACCCCAGACTGAATCCTGCTCCTTCTCTGATCCTGTGCACTGAGCTTCCCTTACTTGTAAAAGTAATTTTTGCCTCTGAATAAAGTGTCCATCTATGAAACTGGGCCTGTAAGCCAGTTTAACTAGCATGAAATCTAAAAGCTTTAGTACAATTCTTGAAATTATTTGCTTTGGAGATGGATACTAATGAACTGAAGAGAATCAAACTCCTTTAGATTTAAAAAAGGATCCTTTTGTCTTTTCTACAGAAGACCAATACTTGGGGTTCCAGCAAAAGAAGCTTGTTCAAGCTGACTCAGCCTTCATTTAATTTCCTAAAATTAAATAAAAATTGTGTATTTCAAGAACATCATAATGTTTTATTTCTTTCAAAAATTATTTTTGAGGTTTTAGTTTCATGACTAAATAGTTTGCCAAATGCAGCGTGAATTTCATCTGACCTGAAACTGCGTTTTCTAGTGATAGTACTGCTGGAACATGCAGTATAGTTTTTCTGTTTGCAGGTTTCCTTTGGGCAGAATCAATGCTACAGTCTTTTTCTTTTTTCATGTTTACAGCAGACAAGGAAGCAACTTGATACAGCTTCCATTGTCAGAAGCATCACATAACACACCTCAGTCTACTTGAGGCAGTCGGATCACGTTACTTCCTCTTAACCTCACATATGTCTGAGTGTGGTGACAGTATTGGCTTTACTCTGCATACCTGTGTTGGTTAAGAATACAAAAGTGCTTGCATTCTATTCTATTGTGACTGTGTTGGCAAAAAAATATAACCTAGAAAGCTTTACATCACCAAAATCTTCCTCTTTTCTCTGAATATGTCTTACTTTTTCCAGAAAACTGGTTTAAAACCAATGCCTGAGGCAGCTGCCAGGGAATTGGCAAAACTAACAAAATTATAGTGTCAGACTCTTGAATGCAGAATGCTCTCTAAGGTGGGCATGGCTGATTTTGCTCATTTTAAAAGAATTCATTGAAAAAGAATGAAGCCCATGAAAACTAACACAGTGGATTCAAACAATGAAGGTAACATGCAATACTTGCGCTGCTCCAACATATGGATGGTCTGATGGCAATGGCCAGGATTTGGTTTTCTAGGCCTCTGCAAAGTTCTGCCCTTTCTATATAGACAGTGGTGATTTTCAGCTAAACATGTGCCTTTGTTTATTCATCTTTGAGGCATTGATTTAGAAAATACATTGCTAGTTTATATTTCTATATGTTGGCA